TCAATGATATTATTGGTGTACATGGAGAAGATTTCCAATATGTTATTTTTACTTCAACGTTGACATGGCTGATCATCCCAGAAGATTTTGACGTATTTGCTTACAGCGAAAGCTTCAAAATCTATCATAGTTGTCTCGTCCCCCATAGCATTTCTTCAAGAACCCAATAAGTTCTTTTTCTTTTCGGAACTGTTAATAAGGGGCACTCGTTTTCTGAATGAAAATCCTGGATCATCCTTGCTTCGATTGAGAAGAAAAGAAGCTACGAATATCAATCAGTAGGAAGAGTAATATCGTCTGGGACAAGACTCCGTCTAATCTGGTAGAAGTTTATCGGACGTTCGAAGGAATATACCGCTTCCGTTTTCAGGGCCGAGGAGTAAGTCTAGCAAGCAGTATGCAGCAATCTCTCTCCGTAGCTCTACATATTCTTCCACTTCAGAATTAAAACACCGAACATTATGTTGGAAAACAACATGAGCGCCAGAATATTGTGTTCGGTGTCGGAAACAAATCGAGCGAAAAGTCGTCCATTTGTGTGCGATAAGTCTAACCTCGAGGTTTCTTCAGCCAAAGTTCAGGGAGTGAATAATTTTGTCAGTTACATGCCTTGGCTGATGGATTACGTATATAGTGACTTGAAGCCCGAAAGCTGGAATAGTGAAGGCAGAAAAGATGTTCTTTGTTAGGCAACGACACCGCAAACACATTCCCGCTCCAAAGAATACGTAAGCAACAATAGAGTAACTTTCGTTGCTATGTAACGGTACTCTAAACGCGCCGTATCAACAATGGAGGCTGTAATTTCTGAGTGGTCCGTTACGATAGGTGATCTTGAAGAAAAATGATGCAACAGGGCAGTTGAGGGCGCAGTTGTGGAGTGTTAACGAACAGGCAGCAGAAGTTGAAGATTCGTTACCAGGAAACGTCTAGTGAAAACACTGCAGAGGAATAGCCATTGTGGATGCGGTTACCAAGTAGACTAGTGAAATTATACTGAGAAGACTTGGTGTGCAGTGAGCCGTAATATGGAAATCAACAATAGTGTTATAGTTATTTGTAGTTATGATCCTCTAAGTGGCTAATAAATTAATTCACCAATCAAAACCCCGCCTATAGAAAATAATACACGTGACAATAGTTTCCCCCAGACTGTGTATTGCAGTGGCATAAGAAAATTAAGGCAACTGGGAATTTCAGTTGAAAGATGCAACCAGATACAGAAACAAGATAATAAACGTAACTTAAAATATTTGGAGAATAACATTTATGTGCGCATCTCACAGATGTCTGAAAGTCCGGATACGAACAAGAGTCTATCTGCTGTTCTGACGGGAGCTTCAGCACAAAACTAAGCAGGATTGGTACGCAACGCCGACAGCGCAAGACTGCCGCAGCTGGAGTCACGATGGGTGACTGAATGAAGTGGTACCTACTGACGTTGCTTGGCAACAAAAAATATTTATTTTCTTCCCGAGTTTCCTTCCTTTTACAGTTATTTCCTTCTTCTTTTCCCCCCTTGACACTACAGCCCCAGTGGGCCTAGGCCTACCTCCATGAACTTCTCCGTTCACTTCGGTTTTTCTCGATCTTACACGTTCGGTAGGACTCCTTGGGCGGGTGATCAGCTCGTCGCAAGGCCTCTACCTGTACACAAACTAAACATCCATGCCCTGAGTGGGATTCGAACCCACGATCCCGGTTTCCAAGCGAGCAAAGACAGTACATGCCTTAGACCGCTCGGCTACCGTGACCGGCTATTTCCTTCTTAGTGTCCCTTTATTTACATCACTGTGTTTTGTTCTTCCATTAATTTTCTTATTTTGTCCCTTTTCTTATTTCTATTCCAATTTCCAAAAATTATTTTTTTTATTTATCTTTGTCCCTCTTCATTTATTTCCTTCCGTTTCTCTCAACCGGTAGAAAAGCCATAAATATAAAAATATAGCTGCGGAACAATTCTGTGTGGGCACTAGTGCAACACCCTTTGAGGATCCAAAGAGAAGCAGCTTCATTCTTTATATACGCTTTCGTAACATCCCCTATTTTCTCCCACATTCCTTTCCAGGCCTCTGCGTTATACGATGAAACGCCGAGGTCTACGTTTAGCACCAACCCCCCAAGAATAGCTAGCACAAACATTTAAACACTATCCGTCTACCTTGCATAGTATACCACACTTCACACATCCACATCAGAACATTATCAGTACTCACAAAGTAGACACGATATGTTAATACAAACTCCTGTTCTCCCGTTCGTCATCTGCCACGTAATTTACGTTCATGTAATGCGATAACGCTTAAAAATTCTTTTCCATGGGAAAGTAATTTCAGAGCTATCATCACACGGTTATATTAATTTATAAATAGATAAATGGATGCATGTACGCATGGCTGTATGGATGGATGAGCAGATATGCTTATGCATTACGTATTCTTAACGACCTCCAATTTATACGAGGTACGTATAAATACATTTATCAGTATTTTATCTGCAAATCTGTTCCCCTATATCTGCATGTCCATGTCCCTGTATCTTCACATTCTTCCTCTCTCTTGCAATATCTCTGCTTCTCTCTGTGTGTGTGCATTAAGGTCGCATCCATAAAGCTCTGGTACCCCGTCTGACTGTGTGATATTACGAAATTACTCCAGATTAATTCTAGAATGACACTTCACATTCTACCAATCCCTCTTTCAACTCAGTCCCAATTATATCAAAATCATTCTATCATTCATTACAGACTCCATGGATACAAAAAGCAAACGCAGGACGCAAAACCGCGGTGACAAATTGCCTATATTTATTTTCCTCTATTGCTGCGTGCTTCTGTATGCATATATCATCACCTACTTGCCTCTCGTATCTGCCTATTAAGAGATAAAAGCTTTACTGTTTGTTGTTACACTTTTTTTCAAATAGGCAATTCAAACGCTGTAATTAACTTATCTATGATATGGTTTCAAAATAATTGCCTGTATTTACAGTAACTGCGCATGTTCCTTCTACATTAGTCCATACATACACACGACGCACTTTAATATGGGACTTGTGTGAGATCTGAGGTTTCTCAAATCAGCGACTCTGAAGAATACTGTTTCGACTTGTGTGAAACCATGTGTTCTGGTAGAAGATGATTACTGGCATATTATTCATCCGTGAAAATTGCGGCAGTATATTTCTTTGGAAATACCGCCTCTGTCATCTAGTGGTCAGAGTTCCCGGCTACAGATCCGGAGATCCCGGGTTCGATTCCCGGCGCTACCAGATTTTCTGAGAAGTAGTGCGTCTGGAACGGGAACCACTCAGCCTCGTGAGGATAACTGAGGAGCTATTTCAAAGAAATAGCGGTTCCGGTCTAGAAAACCGAGATCAACGGCCGTGGGGATTCGTTGTGCTGACCACGCGACACCCTCTGTCCGCTAAAATTGGCAATAACTTCGCCGACAAGAGGCGGTCGCTCGGTCAGTACAGTTCGCTTGCAGACTAAAACCACGGGGTTTGTTTTGTTTGTTTTCTATTTTTCTTTTGAATGTCGGTAAATTCTACCAAACTATATATCGTCACGTCGTAGAATATAATTAACTTCCATTTGATATTTTTTGGGATACTGAACATTATCCACTTTATGTGTTTTAAATGTTCTAAAATATAAAATCACGTTTCGGAGAATGTTTCCGTATCAATCTTCAGGCAACAGACTGAACAGGTAATGGCAAAGAGATGTCTATTCTGTAGGACCCGTTAGACAAAGCTATTACTTATCATTAACCTTCCCACACTTGCAGAATTTTCAGTCGTTTAGTACAGCACTTTGATACAGTTTTGCGAGTACCTAATTAATTTACATCCACAAGTCCGAATGAGAACTACTGTACATTCGTACCAATCAGTTATGCCCCAAACAACGATGTAGTTGGCAACCCTGGCGTCTATCTATACTTTGCAATGGGAATAATTGGTCAGTCATACTAATCACACACTGGCCCACAGATCGATAAAATTTGTCACCTATCTATCTATCTATCTATCTATCTATCTATCTATCTATCTATCTATCTATCTATCTATCTATCTATCTATCTATCTAGCTGTCTGTCTATCTGTCTGTAGTTCTACAACACTTAGCTGAGTCTTCGCCGCTTTTCAGTTACTTAATCTTATACAAAGTCTGTAGGACCGCTTGGACGGAGGATCAGCCCAACGCAAGGTGTCTACCTAACACAGAACACATAGGGCGAGGGCACACCAAGGAAACTGGCAACCGCAACGCAACCCCAATTTCCGAGAACTGTTATCAGCTCCAGTTAAACACATGTTACTGAATGGAGCAGCGCAAACTGAGGGGACTTCTCTACCGTTTCCTCAATTTGCACTGCTCCATTCAGTAACATGTGTTTAACTAGAGCTGATAACAGTTCTCGGAAATTGGGGTTGCGTTGCGGTTGCCAGTTTCCTTGGTGTGCCCTCGCCCTATGTGTTCTGTGTTAGGTAGACACCTTGCGTTGGGCTGATCCTCCGTCCAAGCGGTCCTACAGACTTTGTATAAGATTAAGTAACTGAAAAGCGGCGAAGACTCAGCTAAGTGTTGTAGAACTACAGACAGATAGACAGACANTTTTCTGCTCTCTTACATCTACAGATCTACCACGAGTAAGGACCCATAAATATCAATTGCCCTTCCTCCGACATACAGAGATGTATAGATTGCCACCCCCTGGCTCATACATATTCCAGATCGAAGAAAAATTTAACATGTATCCATCAGTTCGCGCACCTCGCAACCCATAGACTGGTCATCCCTGATTTATCCCTCAGTAGCGACGAAAAGTATTCGTACATATCAACCAACTGCCGTTGTTCAGAGTGACGCAGCTGCTCACCATCATTTCGGAGAAGGGTTCACTCAAACAGAGTAACAGATTAGTGCTCCTCAGAGGCGTGACTGGTCATCTCTCTACGCTACACAGAGAACAACTGTTGTGGCTGCTACTCACGTCCACATGAATGCCGGGCAATGGGAACACCCTTGTGGGAGGCGACTCCTTGGGCACGAAGCGGTAGAACTCTTCCTCCCCTCGGTACCACTTGATGGAGTAAAGTGCAGCATGCTCCAGGTCGTAATCACAGGCTAACCTCACTCTGTCCCCAGTCAGAACCGCTTCGGGGACATCTAACCGAACCCCACGTAAACTCTGGGCCCAGTCTGCTGAAAACACACACACATACATACATTCAAGTTAGCCAGTCTCCACCGCTCTCTCTCTCTCTTTCTCTCTCTGATCTGCGAGAGATGCTGGTTACAGAAGAGAGGGTCAAGCGAGTGAAAGGATTACACAGATGCGGTTGCTACGTACAGTACATAACCGCAAACCTCTCCAAATCCCTTTGACGATATTTCCACTGATTATTTCAACAGAAAGTTAGCCAGGAAGTGACGTCAAGTGGAGACGTTGAGTCTGCATGAAATAGATCAATATGGCCTTCATCAAACAACCTACTTCAGCTACTAGAATTTTGTTGGTAATTTATAAGGTTCCGTTAACTGTACCATCCTCAATTCTTGAGCAGTTTACACTTTTCCCATTTATCTCTCTCTCCTTTGTTATATCTCTATTTATTTTCTTCCTTGTTTAATTATCCTTCTTTCAACAAGCTGGCCAACACACGTTAATGCGAATGAAACATACTAGACATCAAAATGGTTTAACAGAAGTGAACCATGTAAACACTTATCGCGCGTGTAAGAAGATACTATTGTATCTGGTATCGTGACTGCATCTCCGTGCGTTTATGCTTGGCATTCTTCCGGGACATTCCGAGTTCAGATCTCAGCTGTGAGACAGGAAACGCTCGCTAAGCTGAGTGTGCCTCGTCTCCATCCAGACAGATCAACTGACAAAGAAGAGGACTGATGCGGTACAGTATAACTACAGAGGTAAAGTTAGATCGAATGAATCAGATGGAACATGAGTACTGACACAGTTGACGAGTTTGTGTACTTCAAGTTATAAATAAAAGAGGTAAAGTTGTCTCTGTGCTTATCTAATTAAGCGCTACGCCATGAAGGTGTATGAGGGGGTGGATGTATAGATCCAAATTTTCTTGACCTCGGCACCAGTGCTCAGTTTCACGACCCGGCCGCTTTACTCTCAGGGAAAGTGCCCCCGTACCAGTTGGATAGGTGGTTGGGTGGACCCTATAGCCAGTATGGACGATTTGGAGAAGAGAGAATTCTTGACCCTAACGGGACTCGAACTCCTACCACTCAGTCATCCAACCCGTAGCCAGTCGCTATGCACACCGCGCTATCCCCGATCTAATTAAGTTATAAATAACATATTAAATTACATGTAGCAGGGCAGAAGTGTCGGAAAGATAATTTCTTCACACGACAAAACAACAAACAAACAAATTCCGTGGCCTCTAGTGCGCAAACGAACTATGCCGACCGAGCGAGCGCCGCTTGTCGGCGAAGTTAGTCTTAAAGCAAGCCTAAACAGACTTAACATTGTGTCCATGGTCGAATGCGAATGTGGTGATGGGCTGAAAACGGAGGAACCTATCGTCTGAAACTGTAAGCTGTACGAGGACCAACGGGAAAGAATGAAGGACATTTTGTCTGAGAACAGCAGAATACCAAAAGTCAGTTACAGAGTTCTTAAGGCTAGAAGAAAAAACATTTCTGCAAGGCGTCTGTTACTTCATAAATAACATTCCTATATTTGTATAAAATAGATACGTAGGAAAAGTAAAAGAAGCAGTTGTACTGATTATTAAGAGTATACTCTCAGATTTAAGTTAAGATCTACATTAAGAATCGCGGGGTGACCGCTATTATAGAATAAGATGTTTGTAAGAATGTGCTACATAAGGCGGGATAGGCATTGCCTAGGCCTTTTTTGTATTTACAGTATTTTTTCTACAATAAAAATAAAGATCTCCACGGCCGTTAATCTCGATTTTCTAGACCTGAGCCCCTATTTCCTTGAAATAGCTTCTCGGTTATCCTCACGAGGCTGAGTGGACCCCGTTCCAGACCCACTACTTGTCAAAAAATCTGTAGCGCCGGGAATCGAACGCGGGGCGTCTGAACTCTAGATCACAGAGGTGGTAAATTAAGAGAATTAAACTTAGCGGTGGTCAAGCTTACGACCGTTCAAGTGACTAAGCTGCCGTTGTAGCATAAGATAAGTAAGATGGGCATTATCTGCTTTCTAAAGTCTGGACTGACAGAGCACTTGTACAGTACAGTATGCGATATGTACATTTGACAGAGGCCAAGCCTATTCATAAGAGACAAACCCATTTCTCGTCAGGCTGAATGTTACATAAGGACTACGACCGCAAGAGTTCAGTCGCAAAATAAGTCTTGGTCGTGAATCTCAAAGGGCTTGGAGTCAAGACAAAATGATTGGAGGCAAACCGCCAGTCGTAAAATGGCTTTTACTTTAATTTTAAGTTCAGTTAGTGGAGTTAGTGCAATGCAGTGCAGTGGATGAGTGAGGAGTAGAGAGGAGTTGAGTTGAGAGTCGACAGTACAGCTGGTAAGAACCGGAGTACGGAAAGGGAGGACACTGCTGGAAGCCATTACCAGATATCCGGTGAACACTCAGCAAACTGAGAGGACTTAAGTGTGCGCATTAGTGAATTTCGGAGTGTCAGCGATAGCGTAATAGTTACTTGTAATTACGACCTATAAGTGTTCAAAAAATCCAATTACCAAACCAAACGCCGTCTATATTCACTCATACAGGTGACAATATATTTTCCCAATATATATGTATACTTGTAAATAAAATATTTTATAAGAAAATTTGTTTTCTTCTACCAACAATTATAGTCCATAAAAAATATGTGTATTTCATTCGCTCACGCCCTACGCCTTAACGTGCAATTCCTCATTACCTTACTTACTTAGTTACTGATGGAGCTGAGCCGTTCTGGAGGAGCCGCCAATTCTGCAGCTACTCAAGAATTTCCCAGCATTTTATGGAACCCGAAGGTTCAGTACCGTTTTCACAAGAACCCTCCACTGAGCCCTATCCTGAGCAAGATCAATCCAATCCATAACATCTCACCCTATCCCTCTAAGATCCACTTTAATATTGTTCACCCACCTACGCCTTGATCTTCCCTTCTGGCTTCCCCACCAATATCCTATATGAACTCCTCTTCTCCCCCATTCGTGCTACATGCTCTGCCCACCTCATCCTCCTTGACTTGATAATTCTAATTATACTTGGAGAAGAGGACAAGTTATGAAGCTCCTCATTATGCAGTTTCCTCCAACTTCCTGTCACTTCATGCCTCTTTGGTCCAAATATTCTCCTCAACACCCTGTTCTCAAACACCCTCAGTCTATGTTGCTCCCTTAATGTCAGAAACCAAGTTTCACACCCATACCGAACCACAGGCAAAGTTCCTTATCACATTAATTCTGCGAGTCTGCTCTAGGTTCAGTGTCTCAGACCATATGGCCCAGTAGGCTACTCGCTGATGTTTCGTAAAGAAATCAGTGCTCCCTCTATTTCCCCTCTTGAGTTTAGCAAAGCCCCTTAGAGGATCTTAGTGCTTTAACCTAGTCCTAATTTAATATAAAAATAAATACCCCGTGGATCTTACAACTACAGCCAATCTACGTTACAGACATTAAATAAATATCCTGTACCTTACATCCTTTGCACTTAGTATCTACAGATAGCCTCCTATTGTTATCTCTGAGAAAAATACTCAGGCTTCTGTAACCTTCTCTTTATTTTCACTGCACCGAAAGATTATAATGAACGCGCAATATTATATTGCTACTACTTTAAAGCTAATCAGTCAAGATACTCATATTATAAGGCTAAAATATCTAAAATATATGCCTTAAGGAAAATGTTTGCAGCAATTTTAGGAAAACAATAAAACTAAAATTTACATGTCATATATGTTTAATTTATATTATAAATTTTTATGGAAAGATCATATGATACATGATTTTCTTCGACGCTTAAATCTACTGTAGGGTATAGAACTGTTGCTATGCAACGACAGTGAGATGGAGCCGTTTCTGTGTTTCGGTTCGGTAAACACGTTCCCCCAGCAACAGCACAAACGCAACAATGCACAATAATAGAAGAGCTGTGTTTTATATGTGGTCCGTGCCGAGATGTTATAAGGAAGGGATAAGATTTGAGCTTAGTCAGTTCTGTACGGGAGTCTGTGAAGAGAGGACTTCAGAGCGAGAAGCTGAGGACACTATACTGTTAGAAGCTGTTGCCAAGGAACAGCTAGTGAAGACACAGGCTTAGCAGGTGCTGTTGTGATTTGTGAAACGTGGAAATTAGCGGTGACGCTGTAATTACTTGTACTTCCGAGTCGTGTGTATAAGTGTAAAAAAATCCAATGTGTAATGTAATGCCGTGGAGCAGGGGGGCGTGGAGGTAGCCCTCCCGCTGCCGCCACTGTTATGCCCTAGCGACGCAGGGGGGCGTGGNTAGAAGAAGTTCCAGAACAGAAACTACATAATTCAGTGTCGTGCGTCTGGTCATAATTCCAAAATTATTAAATATAAACTAAAAGCTCCATACAGCCGCAAAATTTCTAATTTCTGTAAAAAGAAAACGGTAAATGTGTAGGTGTGATTATGATCAATGTCTATCAATTTTTTTTGGAAATTTCCCACTCCTAGCTGCAGTGGTTCGCTGGTTATCGCTGTCAAAGGGATAGCCGAATATAGCTTTAAGGTGGGCGCATTATTGTTTAACTTTGCAAACAGTATGCCCTCAAAACAAATTGTGTTTTTGTAGCTACTGTTGTTGTCAGAAAGAGAGCTGAATCAAATTCATGTCCTCACACCATATTTTCTTAACATCTAAGTGCATATTGCACTCTCAACTACATCAGCTACGTCATACTGGACAAATGATAATTTGTGAATAATAAAAATTGTGGAGCTCTGCGTTGCTATTCATCTCATGTACTGCATCCTCCAGGTGCACTGAATTCCGTCCACATTTTCTCCCCTCGTGATACATAATCTGCTCCTTCCGTCCTTCTTATCTTGACCAGGTTTCTTGTGTTTAAATCGTTTTATCGAAAGTAGTTGTGGGATACGCCCTGTAAGTAAACCACGACTCTCTGCTTGCAAATCAATATTTAATAATCATTCAGGATCATCTTCCCATCATATTGAACGCTATGAAATATCTGCAGCTGAAG